TGTCTGCGTCGAGCAAGGTATGTGTGTATGTTGTAATGTGCTTTTAAATCTGTGTGTGTGTGTGTGTGTGTGTGTGTGTGTGTGTGTGTGTGTGTGTGTGTGTGTGTGTGTGTGTGTGTGTGTGTGTGTGTGTGTGTGAATGTGTGTATTTGTGTGAATGAGATGTGTGTGTGTGTGTGAGGCTGGATGTGTGTATTTGTGTATGAGGTGTGTGTGTATATCATAGAAGTGTGCGTCTTCCTTGTCCTAGTCAAATAAGGTACCAGTGTGCATGTCTGATTTTATGTGAGACTGGGTCTGTGCATCTTGGTGTGTGTGTCAGCTAGTGTGTGCGTCTGCTTTTGTGTGCGTCTGCTTTTGTGTGCATCTGCTTGTGTTTGTGTGTGCGTCTGGGTGTGAATGAGTCGGTGTGTGTGTGTATGTGTGTGTGCATATCCACGTGTCTGCATATAAGTGGCTGTAAATGTCGTTAACATCTGTTTATCTAGATATCGGGCTGTCTAGGCGCGTCTGTATATCTGCCTTGGTGTGTAAATTGTCTTTCTGTGTCTAGATGTCGGGCTGTCTCTACCGTCATCCTAAATAGTTTAGAAATCCGTCTATACCTGTCAGTCTGTCTGTTTGTCTAGATAACTGATTGTCTCCGTCTGTTTGTCTGTATGTCTGTGACTAGTCTGTCTATACCTGTCTGTCTGTCTGTCTCTAGATAGCTGTCTATCTGTTGTGTCTATATAGTCTGGAAGATTATATATCTGTCTGTTTAGATAACTGACTGTCTCTTGTCTTAATAGTCTAGAATTCTATGCGCGTGTGTAGGAAGACGTCTTAGGCAGATCAGGAATCTGTCGTATGTGTTTGTCTGTTCTGTCTAGATATCTGTCTGTATGTCTGTGTGACTAATTGTGTCTGTCTGTATGTCTGTGTGACTAATTGTGTCTGTCTGTATGTCTGTGTGACTAATGTGTCTGTCTGTATGTCTGTGTGACTAATTGTGTCTGTCTGTATGTCTGTGTGACTAATTGTGTCTGTCTGTATGTCTGTGTGACTAATTGTGTCTGTCTGTATGTCTGTGTGACTAATTGTGTCTGTCTGTCTGTGTGACTGTCTGTCTGTGTCGTGTCTGTCTGTCTGTCTGTATGTGTGACTAATGTCTGTGACTAATTGTGTCTGTCTGTCTGACTAATTGTGTCTGTCTGTAAAACTACAAGTTTATAATAGATAGGAATTGAAAGTCAGACATAGGTGAATAATTTTTTTTTTTTTCTTTCTTTCTTTTTTTCAATATCAAAATTTGTTATAAAGATAAAACAGTAAAAGGATTGCAATAATGAATGATACAAAAAAAAAAAAAAAGATGTATATATGCATATACTAAACCAAAATGCGGGAACTAGAAGAGAAAAAGTTATATATATATATATATATATATATATATATATATATATATATATATATATATATATATATATATATATATATATAAACTATCTTTTTGGTATGAATTGCCAAATCAGAAATACAAGTACGAAAAAAATATGAAGAAAATGTATATTTATATAATTTCCCAAATCAAAATACAAGAACTATTTACTACAACAACAACAAAAACAACAACATAATTCTAACAATGAAGATGTATCACCTCTAACCTTTAATTCCAGGAACACCAGATGGCAACACCGAGCGTACCTTAGATTACGACGCAGTTTTATTGCGATTATTAACTCTTATTGACATATATCAAGCCTGTATTTTGCCTTTGTAGCGTCATGCACCGAGGAGAACCGTCATGTTTATATATATTATATATATATATATTTTTTTTTTTTAGTGTATTGTTCTGTATGTTTGTATTTTTTTTCTCTCTTCTTTTATTTATCTTTCTTATTCTTTCTCAGCTTCTTTCTCTCTGTCTCTTTCTTTCTTTTTCTTTCTCTTTCAGTCTTTCTCTCTCTCTCTCTATTTCTTTCTTTTTTTTTTTTTTCTTCTTTTCTTCTTTTCCTTCTCTCTCTCTCCTCTCTCTCTCTCTCTCTCTCTCTCTCTCTCTCTCTCTCTCTCTCTCCTCTCTCTCTCTCTCTCTCTCTCTCTCTCTCTCTCTCTCTCTCTCTCTTCTCTCTCTCTCTCTCTCTCTCTCTCTCTCTCTTCTCTCCCTCTCTCTCTCTCTCCTCTCTCTCTGTCTCCCTCCTCTCTCTCTCCCCTCTCTCTCCCCTCTCCCTCCCTCTCTCCCTCCCTCCCTCCCTCCCTCCCTCCCTCCCTCCCTCCCTCCTCCCTCCCTCCCTCCCTCCCTCCCTCCCTCCCTCCCCCTCCCTCCCTCCTCTCTCCGTCCCTCTCTCTCTCCGTCCCTCTCTCTCTCCGTCCTCTCTCTCTCTCTCTCTCTCTCTCTCTCTCTCTCTCTCTCTCTCTCTTCTCTCTCTCTCTCTCTCTCTCTCTCTCTCTCTCTCTCTCTCTCTCTCTCTCTCTCTCTCTCTCTCCTCCTCGTCATCGTTGTCGTCATCCCCCT